AGTATAAAAAATGACACAAAATTCTCCTAACGGGTAGCTTTTCTGCCTTTGGGCAGGGTGCAATCCTTGGGTGAGTCTGGGCACTGGGTGGCCACCTAGGCAGGTCTTGGGCACCTAGGCAGGCGCCCAGGGTTTTTCACCATTTTTTGATGCTGAGGCTTGGGCGATGCGCAGGCCTCTTGGACCACTTAGGGGCCGCTTAGGTGTTGGGCGGTATGCTTTTTGAAACACTGCCTATCATAGATTGGATCTCCTAAAAGATCTTGTTGTTCATCTGACTATATATCAAAAATTTGTGGTGACTCTCAATCTACAACTTGTTTACTTTCCATGCAATCTGTGTCAAAATAAAAAAGCTCATCCTTCAAATCTAAAATCCTAGAGTAATGTTCCCCACATCTAGGTCTTCTATCACTATCCTCATCACTCGACTCCACACAAGGAGCACAAAAGTGAAAAGGCTTGTACTCGAGAACCTCTTGGGCTGAAAGATCAGATCATGCCCATTATTGAGGGTTGTGAATTGCTACACCAGCTGCTGAACTTGCCTTTCAAGTTTATCAATTCTGTCATCTATGAGATCACGATGTGGATCTACGAAAATTCCCCTTCTATGGCCCCTGCTTGCTGCCATGGGTTCGTCGAAATCACAAACCCTAGGTAAATAATCAATAAAAATGCTGAAATCAACAAAATCTAAGTTGTTTTGGCAAACTTTGACAAAAATCAGTAAACCCCAGGCCCCACTATAACTTATCCTCTTTGTTGTCGACCTAGGGTACCAAAAGAAGTGATGTATGTGCTACAGTAACTTCAGTACTTGCTACAGTACCTTCTGTGTAGATCGTGGGCTCTGATACCAATTGATACGAGGAATTTGAGGGAATAGCACAATCATCAAGAAACAAAGCTAAACACAAGCATAATTCAAAGAAACTTAAGGTTTCTTCTCTATGTCCCAAGCTAGGGTTCCATAAGCCTAAGCTTTTCACTCTTGTTACCGTAATTTTTTGTACTTGCTATAGTAACTTCCTTGTAAATCATGGGCTCTGATACCACTTGATGCAGGAAAACTCGAAGAAACATAGAAAAATCAGCAAGAAGCACTTTGACACCCAAGGCTTTCTTCTACTTAGAGCTCAAGTCTTAGGCTTCTTTTACAAGGCAGTTTTTCTTTTCTTAAAGAGGAACATATGAATGACTTTCCAGCCCATCCATACCCCTTTTTTTATTGAATATTTGTTCATACAATTAACTTTTGACTAAAAGGTCCTAACTTAAGTAAAAAATTCGTAATGATAGTTTTACCATGTGAATAGTACCCATGAACAGTACTCTTTGAATAGTACTTGTGAATAGTACTCATGAAATAAATAAAAAATCTATAAAAGCCCTAGAATTTCTAAAAACTAAAAACCCTAGAAACAAACCCTAAAACTAAAACTATAACATATATCCTTTAAAGTTGAATAAAAATAAAGAAATGAGGACAAATTTTCTCTCCATTAGTATGTGTCAACTTATAAATTTTCATGTAATTTTTTCTTGGACCATGTTTCAACATTTTTTATTTTCCTTCTTTTTGAGGTTTTTCACGATCAATGAAACTGATTAGAGTGGGCAACTATTTGATCTTTCTCCATTTTGAGTTTTCAATAGGTAGATCCACTTTCCTAGTATACATGTTCAAATATAAAATATTGTTGAGTTCATCGTAGGTAACGTAAGGTCCATTGCTACTGATCTTACGTTTTGGAGCACATTTCAAGCGCACTCTATGCCCGGTATTTTAGATTGGCTCTAGGTTTAGTCAATGTTTCAAAACCCAGATCGTTGGGATGGATAGTTCACCCCACAAATCCGTGTTTGAATTGGGGATCCAGATCGTTTCGAATAGGTAATCCTGAAAATTAAAAATAAATAAAAATAAATAAAAAACAAAATATGTGTGGGGATTTAGCTGAACTGAAGAAAATATTAGATAAGCTTAATAAATAAATAAATAAATAAATAAATAAATAAATAAATAAAGATATATATAGGAAGATGTTAGAAGATGCTAGAGTGAGCCCACTAGCTCACAGGAAAAAATGAGCCCAACGGCCCAGATTGAATCTGGGTTGATCTGACGAACATGGATGTTCTGTAGTGTTTGAATTTTAATTTTTTTTTTCAAATCCAAATCACTTGAAATTTAGAGCGTATGTACATAAAAAATAGGTGAATCTTCAAAAAATATCAAAAAAATATTTTACATGAAATAAATTGACCAAAATACCCCTGAAAAGTTTCGGGGGTATTTTGGTCGTTTTTTTTTTGAATTATTTTTTTATATTTTTATTAGGTGCGGCTTGCAAAGAAGAACACGGCTTGCAAAGAAGAACACACGCCTAAAATTTCAAGTGATTTGTACTTGTAGAAAAAA